CCCCCACCCCACCCAAACGCTGATTTCTTGCTGTGCTGACTTGTTTCTGGTTTAGAGGAAGATGAGAAAGCAGTTCAAAGTTGGTCCAGAGTTCTGGGGACAGTGCCTGATGCTTAGTCTGAAGACTCAGCTTAGCTGTCCTTAAGACCAGAAGAGGGGGCCAGACTCATTAATGAGAAGCGTCTGGGCAGCACCTTCCCTGGGGACCATTCAGAGTACCCTTCCTCCACTCCTTCATACACCTTAAACAGCTGGGGATAGTGAAATGGCAGAACTGAGGGCTTAGCGCCACCTGCTGGCCACAGACAAGACCTACTTGATCCCAGAAAATCAGAAATCACTAGTCCTAGGCTTTTCACCCTGTGAGACCCCTAGCCTTTAGGCTTAACTCAGGGAAAAGCTGAAAAGCTCCAGGCATGGAGGGAGCAGCTGGACCAGACCTTCCTTGACCACCCCACAGATGTTCTTGTCCACTAACAGTGCTCCCATCCTCTGGGGGCACCCATCTCTTTAAGGCACTTGTCTAACTATAGACAGAAGAGTTCCAGTAGGCTCCCCTCAGCTTAGCAGGAAATTCTGTGAGAATTGTTTCTGATATTCTGCCTCCAGGGCGTCATGTGAGAACAGATGGAGCAGTCTAAGCTCGTCCACATCCTGTGTGCAGATCCCCCAGAAAGGATGTCTCATGTCACTGTGGTCCAGTGCTGAGGGAGGCGCTCTTCTCCCAATTTGCAGATGAGGAAATGGGATTGGACTTGGGGGTCACTTGCTAAGATCATACAGCTAATAACTGATAGGCCCACGATTTGGACCTGAGTCTGTCTCACACCAAAGCTCTCTCCTTTCCCACCGCTGCACGATCCCAATGACCTGAGCATCACCTTTTACTAGAGGTGTCACCTTGCTCTCGGTTGTCAAAAACCACCACCGGCAGACAGATGTCTCTAGACCAAGAACAAGAGGGAAAGTAACTCAGGAAGGTCCTAGATTTGAGACTGATGCAGACTCATCTATAAGTGACAGCCCGGATCATGTCCAAACACCAAAGGAGCCAGAGGGACTGCTACTGAGTCCAAGCTCATACTGCTTGCCACATGAGAGGCCAATAAATCAAGAGACAAGTTGTTGGAGCAAGAAACAGCAACTTTATTTAGAAAGTCAGTAGCCCAGGAAGATGGTGGACTCGTGCCCCTCAGAGCCATCTTGCCTGAGTTAGAATTCAGGCAATGGGAGGAAGTAAAAATCAAACGACTTTACTGGTTCTGGTCATCCTCCAGAGATGTGTTCATTTCTTCCTTTCTGCAGTCATTAATAGGTCATCAGGATGTTTCCTTTGAGCTCAACAAAGTTATTTTAGCTCAATACTCATTACCTGAAAGGCAGGCTTCCCAGGGATGGGCCATTATGTATAATTCAACCTTATAGGCAACAGCCTGTTATTGGTTAACAGGAGAATACAAAGCTTCTTCCCTATTGCAGGGCCTCACTGACACCTTTTCCCACTCATGTCTATGAAGAACCCTCCATCCTCTGCCTTCTTCATGTGGACTGAGGTCCCTGCCTTATAGGCTCCTCCCGCTCCAGCCAGCTGGGTGGCAGTGCAGACTGATGCTGCACATCTGCCATCCGTGTCTCCAGGTGTTGTGACATGTGTCCTGGGTCTCAGTCCTGAGCTCAGCAGAGAAAGGAAGCCAAGCCACCCTCTTCCAATAGTGAAACTGAACTGCTAGGCTGGAGAAACTAGCCTACTTCAGTTCAGTCGCTCAGTCATGTCTGACTCTTTGCGACCCCATGAATCGCAGCACGCCAGGCCTCCCTGTCCATCACCAACTCCAGGAGTTTACTCAAACTCATGCCCATTGAGTCGGTGATGCCATCCAGCCATCTCATCCTCTGTCGTCCCCTTCTCCTCCTGCCCCCAATCCCTCCCAGCATCAGGGTCTTTTCCAATGAGTCAACTCTT